GTCTGAACGGCTCACCTTCCGGTCAGCAGTCCAACGCTTAACCCACAATGTCTCCAAAACCATAACCGATCCCCTGCCACGGAGCCGATCCAGATTCCTAACAACCCGCTAGAGCTGTGTAGAACTTCCCCCCAGTGGGTTTCCAGGGCGGAAGATACATTGATGAGAATAAGACCAGACCCCAAATCAAACTCACTGCCCTTCAGTTAATGCTGGCTCCTAGGGACCTGATAGGGCAGGGAGACCTCCTCCTGTGGGTTTCCAACCCTGGAACTCCTTACTAGAGTAGAATGCCTCATTTTTCTCCCCAGGAGCTATCTGGTGGTTTCGAACTACTGATCTTGTGGTTACCAGCCCAATGTGTAACCACTTATGCTACCAGGGCTCCGAGAGAAGACAATCTCATCTTTTTTCCTGCAGAGCCGCTGGTGGGTTTGAACCTTCAACCTTGTGATCGGCAGCCCAATGCTGAAACAGCTACGCCACCAGAGGTCTCAAAAAAACGGTTGGAAGCAGGAGAGCTGGAAAGTAGTTGAGAAAAGGCTCCTGGCTGCACCTCGGCAGAGGACAGGATGCAGTTTTAATACACAGTGAGAGGAGCCCTGGTGGTGGTGTGGTTACGCGTTGGACTGCAATCTGCGTGGTCGGCAGTTCTAAGCCACCAGCAGCTCCACAGAACAAAGACTGGGCTTTCTACTCCTGGAAACGGTTACAGTCCCGATGCGCCCGGGGGCACGCTATGAATCAGCATTGCCTCGATGGCAGTGAGTTTGGTTTGGGGGTGGCCAGCTTGGGTTCTAAGTCCAGGGCAGATAATGGCATGAGTGCCTGGGAGTGCGGGCAGGGAGGGCAAGAGAGGGGGAAGGTACCCTGCTGACTGGCCCTCTGAGAGGGCACAGGAGGCTGAGGGGATTCTGAAGCCGGCTGAGGAGCCCACGTGAAGCACAGGCATGGGGGGCCAACAGGTAGAAATCGAGGAACCTTTGAAATGACTTAAAGGGGCAATCTGCTGGTATCCAGAGAACTGACACCCACCCCTGGGGACTGAACAATCAATGGTCTGTAGCCAAATCTAGCGAAGACAGAAGAGAGCCGATGGCTTTGCCAACTGTTATTAGTATCTAAGCAGCCAACCTTTCCAAGGATGCCTAACAGGGGCATCAGAGAGAAGATGCTTGGTCTGAACAACCATTCAGTCGGTCAGTCACAGGTCGCAAAAGCTGAACTCAAACACTTAGGCATTTAAGCAGTTGCCTGTTTCCCCCCTCAACAAACAAACAACCCCCCCAAACCTTCTATGGCTCCCTGTTGCCCTCAGGGCAGAGGACAAACTTCTCCAGTCCCAAACCACTGCCCCCAAGTGGATTTTGACTCGTGGATTTCTCCCTGTAGGACAGTGTAGGAATCGGACTGTCTTATCTTTCTCCTGTGGACCGGCTGGTCAGTTGGCAGCGAGGCGCTTTAGCCACAGGGCCACCAGGGCTCCTCGTATATGTCCTCACACCAAAATCTCATCAGGTGGATGGTGACTCGCAGCGGCCCGACAGGGCAGGGTGGAACTGGCCCCGTGGGTTTCCGAGATGGTCACTCTTTAGGGGAGCAGGCCGCCTCGGCTCTCTTCCTCGGCGCGGATGGGGGTTTCTGACTACTGATCTTGGATCACAGGCCAACATGCAGCCACTGCGCCCCCAGGGCTGCTCCTTCTATGTGCAAAAAGGCCCCACGAGCATGCGTCCCTGGGAAAGTTTCCGTGCCTCTCTGTCATCCCAAAGTTCCTCTCCCTGGAATCCCAGCTCTGGAGATCTTCCAACTTCCCAGACTCCACCCCACACCCCAGGTGTCCCCCAGACCCACAAACCCAGCATGTCCCATGCCTACCTCTTCCCTGGGTCTCCCCTTCACAGACAGCCATCCTGCCTCTCCCAGGTCTCCATTCATGCGCCAGCTCCCCACAAAAGCCTGACTCTCCCCAAGCCTTCAACCCTCCCCAGAGCCCGTCCACCTGGCCTGAGGAGGCTCTCCCCACACCCCCAGCACCCTACCTGGGCCTTTGGCCTCCACTCTCAGTGTCTCCAATCGCCCCTCCCATCTGAGTTTGACCTGTCCCTCTCCTGCTCAGACTCTCTGTACTTCCCTACTGCCCTCAGGAGAAAGCCCCCCTTCTCAGTGGCTCCCAGGGCCCTGGGTGAGCTTCCCCTAATGACCTCTTTGGCTACCTACTCTCTCACCAACCTTTCAGCTCCAGCTGAGATAAATAACTTTCAGTTCCTTCAACTGAAACCGCATCTTCACCACCAAAACCTCCCCCGGCTTGCACCCCCTGCCTAAGTCCTTCCCCCACTCTTCACATGACCACTCCTATTTGCCAAGTCCCATGCCGCTCTTCTAGGAGCCCTGGTCATGCAGTGGGTTCAACATCGAGCTGCAAGGCCAGCAGTTCTAATCCACAAGCCGCTCCTGGGGAGAAAGATGAGGCTGTCTGCTGCTCTAAGGATGGCAAGTCTTGGAAACCTGAGGTCCACCCTGTCCTATAGGGTCGCTGCGAGTTGGAATCGACTCGATGGCAGTGGGTTTGGTTACGGACTGAACTGTCACCCCCAAACATATGTTATAAATCCCTAACCACCATGCCTATGGTTGGGCTAACACAGCGGCTGCAACAATGTGATCCACTGACAGTGGCGAGGAGGGCTTGGCACCAGTGGGCAGTGTTTCCTTCTCTCGTACATAGGGCCGCTACGAGCCGGAACTGAACTGACCGGATGGCACCTACCAACAACATGCCAGTGGTTCTAATCCCATTTGGGGGATGAGTTGTCCTCTTGATGGTCAGGAGGCAGGATTTGTGTAGGGGGTCTCTTGAGTTTGTCTCCCATGGGATAGAAGAGAGACTGGACACACAGGCTAAAAGGAGCACCGATGGGGGGAGATAAATGCCAAGGCACATGGAAATCGCTTAGGAAGAAGACATTGAAGAGCCTCACTTTACAGGTGTGGGAAGTAAAGATTCAGACAGGTTAAGTAACTGATGCAGATGGACACAGCCCAGAAATGGAGGAGCCGGGATTTGAACCCAGGCCGCTGCCTTTGGGCACCATGTGCAGACAGTGATAAGGGCCTCCCAGTCATTTGCCTGCCCTCCCTCTCTGACAGCAGCTGAACCCAAAGGTGCCTTTGACCTCTCCAAAAACCCACCAGTGGCCTCCCCCCACCTCCCATTTTTCTGCCGGGGCCATTTGGACAGGACAGCTTTCTCGGGGCAGGAAGGCTATGGGAGTGCAGGTGTCCAGCTGGTGGCTTCTGCCATATCAGGCCATGTCTGTTCCTTATCCTGCCATGGCCCCCATCTCATTCAGATTAAAAGCCAGAGTCGTCTCCATGGCCCACCTCTCCCCCATCTCTCCTTGGACCTTAGTCCCCACCCTCCTCCCCTGGTCCCCCTCTCTCTACCCTCCCTGGCCTTCTCATGAGCCCTGAAAATAGTCCCAGCACTCCTCTCCCAGGCCTGCCTTTGCATGTGCAGTTCTCTCTGCCTAGAATGTTCTCCACTCCCCCACCCCCCAGATATCTGCACCACAATCTCCTTTCCTTCCAGTTTTCGCTCAAATGCACCATCCTCAGAGAAGCCTTTACTATTTAGAGCAGCACTATTTTAAACCTCCACCCCAGACTCCCCCAGCTTGCTCCTACACACCACACAATTAACTTACCTTTTGTTTCCTGCCTCTTACTCTGACAATATCAAGTCCACCGGGTGGGGGACTTTTGTCTACTGGCTCCCTGCTGAGGGTCCCAGTGTCTACTTAGCACAGCCCTGGGCACTACTAGTATGTGCTTAAGGAATCCTTGGTGAATGATTAACTTGTGGTTTACTGTCCTTCTTGTAGATGCATTAACTGAGGCATGGGACATTTTGTCACCGGCCCATGGCCCAAGTTCATGCGGCTAGTTAAGTGTGGTACAGAGACGGTATCAGCTGCCCTGCGAGGGCCAGCTGAGTGAGTAGATAAGATACCTACCTCTCCATCGCGGCATCCTGTACCCTCAGTTCTGAAAGTCAAGGTTTGGTCTAAGCTACTCACATGCTCCTCCTCCTCTGCCCACTCCCCCCTGGACAAAGCCCTACCTGGATTTCCACAGCACTGGCTATAGAGGCCTTTATTTATTATTTATTTATTTTGATTTGGGGGGTGGTAGTGGTGTGGGCCTCACGCAATCCAGCCACATAGTGAGAGGGATGAAATAGTTACACGAGCCAGGTCTATGATGGCCAACGTGCCACCCCTACGGGTGATGTGGGTGATATGGGAAGTGTGAGGACACCGGCCGGCGAGGGGGAGGAGCCACACAGTGAGGAGGTGGGAGTGTCCAGGCTGTTAGGCAGGGATGAAGGCGATGGGGGGTGGGGGGAAGAAGGGGACATGGCCATATTGTGCCTTTCAGAGGAATAAACTGGCGGGGCTCCCCCACCGTCAACTCGGAAGTGGGTGAGCAGGCCAAGAGTGGACAGGTAACTCGAGGACCCAGTCAGGGAAATGACAGAGGCAAGGGGGCGCGGGAAAGGGCCCTGTGACGCTGCAAGTAGGAGGCATGGGCGGCGACCGTCGAAGGAACCCTGGTGACGTGGGAGGGCGATGAGGATGGCTTAAGTCAGGGGCGGAGAAGAAGGTGACGTGGGATTATGAGGACTTGTGACCACAACTGTTTCATAAAGGCGACATGGCCCCTCAAGACGGGCAGAGGCGACAGAAGACGATGGGGGCGGCGACATACGGTGGCAATGGGGCGCAAAGGAGGAACGACAGGGATTCACGGGGGCTGATGGTGACACGAGCTGGCCCGTGGCGACAGCAGGCGTGGTGACGACTTAAGTGGAATGAGACACGGGGAGGGAATGACGACACAGAGGCATCGAGGACGACAGGAGGAGAGGATGTATTGTCGGGGGAAACAACACAAGGAGGGCGGCCGGAGCGCCGCGCCCGCCGATCGCACCGTACCTGCACGTCACGTCTCCCACTCCCGGACCCAGCCCCGCGCGCACCTTCCAGGCGGGAACCCCAGCCCAGGCCCCGCGCAAGCGCACTCCAGCTGTACTGCGGAATGGGCGGGGCCGGCTGTGGGGGCGGGGCCGGCGGCAGCCGATTCGTTTTTTCATTGGCCTCCCGCCTCGCGGGGCGGGGCGGGGCGGTCACGTGATGCCACTAGCTGCCTTCTCGCTGGTGGCGGTTTGAGAGCCTAGAGCGGCCGCAGGCGTCGCCGTCCGGCGTCCGGCGGCGTGGGCGGTACTTCCGGGGCGGGCCGTCCGGGTCCGCGGGAGGAGGGTCTGACAGTTGGCGCCGCCGGGCAGGGCCGGCGAGCTGCGCGTGTTGGCGCGGGCCGGTGGGCCAGGTGAGGCGCGGGCCTTGGGGCGGTGGGACGGAGCTGCGTGCTGTGGGGGGCGGGCGGGTGCCCGGGGGTCTCGAGACGCTGCCCCGGCTCTTCCGTGCCGCTCGGGGCAGGCGGCTTCTTTGAGCATCAGTTTCCTCTGTAGAATGGGGGTCAGTGGTCTGCCTGTCGAGCTCGTTCGTGCACGTCGGAGCCCCTGGCTCAGCACCTGGCAAGCCGTGCACACTTGGTGACTTACTATTTAGTGAGGGTGTCTGCGCTTGTGAAACCGTGGGCCGATGACTCCACCCCCCATCCCCCCGCGGTACCTCAGTTTCCTCCTGTGTACAATGAGCGCTTAATGGGCCGTGAGGGTTCTGAGGAGGTGTGCATGTTGGGGACCGTCATGGAAACTATTCGGAGAGCCATCGGTGTAGCTCGGGGGTCTCAAGGAAGTGGAAGCGGGCGGGAAGCTCCGAGAGGACAGGAGGTAGACTCATGAGGCGGGCAGCCCCTGCAAATTGGCTGGCTGTTCATCTGTACTACGTTTTCCCGAAAACGATCCACACGCATTCCTTCAGGTCACTTCATTTGAGAAGGAAAGTCGGGGTTGCCACCGTAGATGGAGAAAAAAAGCATTTGCTGTCCGTGAGAGGAGGAAAACTTACTCTGAGAAACAATGGAAACAGAACGGTCGATTAAACTGCCCATGGAGCTGGGCGGAGAATGGAAAGGGGGGAAACACTTGTGCTTTGTGATCCCATCTTCTCAGGTCCCATGGACCAAGCCCGTTCTCTTTGAACTCAGGGCACTTTGCAGCATGAAAAATGTGCAACTAGCGACTGCCTCCAGGGGTCTTATTCCTCACCCCCTGGTGCTCAGAAGGTGGCCTCATTTTCTTTCCTACACACTTAGGACAGCCCCGCCCCCGTTCCCCCCAGCACCAGCTGAGCATTGTTCTAAAGGGTTTTGTGTGAATTCACTCATCACTCAGAGCAACCCACAGCCACATCATTTTTTTTATTTTACAGTGGAGGGGATGGAAGTCTAAAAAACGTCAAACCACCTGTCCAGAACCACAGGATTGCCTCAAACCCGACCGACCCATTGCCTTTGAGTCAGTTGAGATTCCTGGAGACCCCAGGTGGAGACCCGAGAGTTGAATGGCACCGTGGGGTTTTCTGAGCTGCATTGCTTTGGACAGAATCAGATCACCGCCAGGCCTTGCTTCCTTGGCATTGCTAGGTTTGTTAGAAGCGCCTAGCAGGTTCCATAGATGAAGGCAAACCCAGGGGCATGGAGTCGTGGGGAAGTGGTGAGACAGAGTCTGCTACACCTGAGTCTTACTGCCCTCAAGAGAGATGACACTGTGATACTTCTCATTGCTCAGAACCAGGGCTGGAGATGGGGTTTTAAGATAGTGGAGAGAGGAAGTTGAGACTAGCAGGGAATTATACAGCACTAGGGGGAAAATACCAGGACTTCTGGGATTCCGGTAAGCATGAACCTTGAAAAGGCAGGCCACGGCAGTCCTTTGTTATCCCTTGATCTACCCCAACCACAGCCAGTGCACCCACGTTTCTTGCTGTGTTGACCTTAGACTTGGCCACTGCTCTTACCTAGAATATGGGAATTGTTCTTCCTTTGTTTTCCCAGGGTGTTTGTGAGGAGTCCCTGGGATGAATAGTCCCTTGGTGCTGCCCTGTAGTGAGTGAAAGGAGCCCTGGTGGCCCTGAAGGTGAGACGCTGGGCTGTTAACCACAAGGTGGAGGGTTCAAACCCACCAGCTGCTCTGGGGATGAAAGAAGAGGCTGTGTGCTTCCGTAAGCCCTCTTTAGGGTGCCTAGGCATTGGAATCGGCTCATCACAGGGGGCCCGTTGGTGGGGCATGCTGTCCAGCCCTCAAGAGAAGTCACTGCGCAAGTCTTGGAATCAGGCAGAACTTGTTTGGGGTTGTCCCAGGAAGCCCCTTACTAGATGTAGCCTTTGCCAAAGGTGGAGACCTCATCGAGGCTTGGTGGTCGTGGTACCCCCACCATCAGTTACAATCAGGCTGGTTGTTGTCCTCACTCACAAGGGTGTTGGGAGGCAGCAGCCAGATGCTCGAGACAGGTGCGGGCGCACAGCTAGTGCCTGGTGTGTGAGGGGGTGCTGCTGACTCGGCCTCTGAGAGAGCTTGCTGGGTGGTCTCTGTCCAGAAGAGGAAACGGGCCTCTGGCCAGTCAAGTCCAGGGCAGAGGGGTGCTTGTGGTCAAGGTTAGCAAAAGAGATGCGGCAGAAGCCATCAGAGCGCAGACTAGACTCCGGCCAGGAGTGCAGAAGAGAGTCTCAAGTCGGGGAGGGGTGGTGCTCAGGAGGCCCCAGGGGAGCTTGCCAGGGCACTGGCACAAGTAGGCCCCTTAAGCAGTGGTGACTTCCTGTGGAAGTGCCAGGGGGTGGGGAGGTGGAGGCCAGGCTGTCCTCTAGTAACAGGCACGTAGTAAGCCCCAGGCTCTGTCCCCTTGCCCTCACAGCAGACCCAGCAGTGCCGGTAACATCCCACCTTTCACGTGAGGTCACTCAGGCGCACCTGGGGAAGTAAATTCCTGAGGTCCTATGCTACTAAGGGGTTGGGCAAGATTTGAACCTGACAGTCTGGGTTCTTAACCTCTCTGTTGTACTATCAGGATGGGGGTGGGATAGAGCCCACTATGTGCCAGTCAAGTGCTAGGCCTGGAGCCGAGGAGGTAGAGGAGGGGGCAGGAGATGGATTGGATCAGTGCTGAATGCAGGGAGAGGACGGAGAGGAAGGAAGGAGGATGCGCCTGGACCAGGGAGGAGGGGCCAGGCTGAGCCTGGAGGAGGAAGGCTGGGCACCGTGGGGGAGAGTGGACCTGGAGTCGGATAGCCTTGACTCACTGCATAGAGAAGCGATTTCCTTCCGTCGCCTTTCAACACGACTATTAACAGGGCAGTTCTCCTTGCCCTATGGGGGTGCTATGGCCTTGGCATTGATGCAATGGCAGTGAGTTTTGGGGGAGCCACATCAAGGAGGAAGACTCTCCCTGGAGCACCCAGACCTCTGTCACCTTTCCAGCACCCACTCATCTTATCCATGTGGAAAGGGGTGTTGCAGGCCCTCCTGGTGGGCGCGCCTCCTCAGCCGTGGCACGGCCTCCGTGGCAGCCATTCTCCTTCGGGACACGTGACTGGCCACCCAGCCTCTCCCTGGCCTCGAAAGGTCCTGTTGGAGAGGTTGACCGCGGTCACCCCATTTGCAGTGGCAGTCCCTTCCTCAGCCCCGGCTCCTGTGTTTGGTTTCCTCCATGACCCCAAGGTGCCTGGCACCGTCTTCTTGACTCTGGACTCTGGCTTACTCTGTCTGCTCGCTTCCCCACCACCACCTGTGTCCCCAGCTCCTAGAACAGTGCCTCACCCCTCGCAAGACCTCAGCGCATAGCCGTTGCAGGGGTGAATGCAGGGTGTCATGGCCACCGTCGTGGCCCGGCGTGTCCTCTTGTTTTCTCCCTCTCCCTCTATTGCAGCCAGACATTTTGAGGTGTGTGGCGATGGAGCTGTGGACGTTTGCTGTCCTCGGCGGAAGCGATCACTGTGGTGGCAGCCCTGCCCCGGCTGACGCCCTGCCAGCTGTTCCAGGCTATTCCTGGCCTGTGAGCCCCCAGCCTGGGGAATGCGGCCCTGGAGACAGAATGGCAGCCGGCAGGGGACGCGCACTCCGAGCCGGTGGTCACTCGTGGCCTCTCTCCTCTGCTCCTCTCTTCCAGGCTCCGGGGAGCAGTGCCAGACCCAGGGAGACGATGGTCTCGGTGACTATGGGTGAGTCTCGGGCCCCCTTGGGAGCCCCTGCTCCCCACTGCGCTGTTTGAGGGGAGGTGGGGGAGGAGAGCCAGGTCATTGACAGCAACAGCTGCCCTCTGAGGCACATGGGGGTGGGGCAGTGCCCTGCCTCCTCCCTGTGTCCAGCCCCTGCCCCCCCATGGTGGGAGCAGGCAAGCAGAACTTGGACAGACTGTGAAGTCCAGCCCACCTTCCACATGGCCTCTCAGCCTCGGGTTTTCTCCTCTGTGAAGCCGCCGCATCACGGGAGGTGGTGAAGACCCAGGGTGCTGTGTGCAGGTGTGGGTGTTCACTTTGGGAGCCTGATCCCTGTATTTGGGTATGAGTAAGGCAGAAACATGAAGGGAACCCTGGTGGTGAAGTGGTGACGTGTTGGGCTGCTAACCTCAAGGACAGCAGTTCGAAACCGCCAGCTTCACCGCTGGAGGAAGACAAGGCTTTCTAACCCTGTTAAGAGTGACGGTCTCAGAGACCCACAGGGGTCACTCTGAGTCGGACAGAACTCAGTAGCAGCGAGTGAGATTTTTTTTAAAGGAAAGAAATAGCATTGCCCGTTTAACTGTACGCCCCTTGCCTGTGAACTCGGGCGAGTTCAGCGACACAGGAGTGAAGAGAGCATGCATTCTCTGTGGGGTCAGTGCGTTCCACAGAGGGCCAGTCTGAGGAGCCCAAAGAGAAGTTTGGGAGCCATCTGGCTTTGTTTGGTAGGGGGGCTGCGTGGCCCTGGCCTGGGCTCTGTGGTCTGCAGTAACACCTGCCTCGGATGACCAGGGCTCAGGCTGCGGGTCTCCCGAAGCCCCTCATGTGGATTCTTTACCCGATTCTGCTCCCAGGCCCTAGGGTGACCCCAGTGCCTAGGCTAAGGCTTGGGGGGTGCAGGAGGGGGGGAAAGGGGCTTCAGGAAGTTGGTGGGAAAATTCCATCACTTTTCGTTCTATTTTCCTATGGTCTTTTAGCAGCCCCTCTCAGTAGATCCCTGATTACAGCTGAGGGAACTGAGGTACAGGGGAGCAGTGAGCAAGTGACCCTCAGTCTCTCAGCCGTGAAACAGCAGAGGCAGGGTTTGATGTTCCACACTGAGGCAGGGCTGCTCCTCTGGCAAGGGGGAGGCTCTGGTGCCTGCTGAGACTTGGGGATCAGGGTTTGAAGCCCCCTTTGTCATCTGCCTGTGAATCTGTCACCCTCTGGGCCATGGCCTAAGCTGTGACGTGTGACAGGGTTCTGGCTGAGCAGGGCAGACAGAGAAGTAGTAAAGTACTCAGGCCTGGGGGCGCTGCCTCTGCTTGTCAGTGTGTCCTGTCCAGTTTGCTAGTTGGCAAAGTCCTGAGACAGCTTGCCTGGTAGAGTTGAGAGGAGGACCCAGGCCTCCTGTGCCCTATGAGGAAGTGGGGCACGCACTGCGTTTGTGGAACAGCTGCAGTAGGCAGTTTGGCTGTTGCTGTGCCCCAAAGAGAATCCTAGGAGTGATGCGCTCTCTTCCACTGCCCCCAGCCACGTCCCAGTGGATCCAATTCTTTAAGGAAGCCGGCATCCCTCCGGGACCTGCTGTCAACTACGCAGTGATGTTTGTGGATAACAGGTGAGGCGGCAGAGGGGACGGGGCTGGGCATGGGGGCTGGCTGGGAGTGGGGAGGCGGAGAGACTCACTTGGAGCCTGCCTCTGGCTTGCCCCCTGCAGGATCCAGAAGAGCATGCTGCTGGATCTCAACAAGGAGCTCATGAACGAGTTGGGCGTGACCGTGGTGGGTGACATCATCGCCATCCTCAAGCACGCCAAGGTGGTGCACCGCCAGGTGGGGGCTGCTGCCCGGCCCCTGTGCCCTTGGGGTGTGGGGAGGGGAGATGGGGGCAGTCACAAAGCCAGCCTTCCTGGGCCGACCACATGCTGCTGTGTGCCATCAGGCAACTTGTCTCCACTGATGAGCCTACTTTCCGTTCGGTAAAGCGTGGTGAGGTTGAGTGTTAGCTCCCCCAGCCCACTGCGTGGGGAGCACTCCCACTCGGAGCAGCCCTGGAGGGCAGGGTAGAACTGCCCCTGTGGGTTTCTGAGGCTGTGTGACTTTGGAGAAGCTGGCAGACTCGATTTTCTCCCACCGAGCAGTCGGTGGGTGTGAGCCATTGACCTTGTGGTTAGCAGCCTGAGGCTTAGCCAACACACTCCCATTGAGTTGATTCTGACTCGCAGCAACCCTGCCGCATAGAGTAGAACCGCCTCTGGGTTTCCAAGGCTGTAACTCTCTATGGGAGTAGAGAGGCTTGTTTCTCCCATCCTGGTAGGAGCCCTGATAATGCTGCCGACCACAAGGTCAGTGGTTCAAAGCCTCTACCTGCTAAATCCCCTAAAGATGGACAGTCTCGGAAACCCTCTATAGCAGTGGTTCTCAACCTTCCTCATGCCGTGACCCTTTCATACAGTTCCTCATGTGGTGGTGACCCCCCCAGCCACAAAATTATTTTTGTTGCTACTTCATAACTGTAATTTTTTTACTGCTGTGAATTGGGTGACCCGTGTGAAAGGATCGTTCGACACCCCCCTCCCCCAAAGGGGTCGCAACCCACAGGTTGAGAACCGCTGCTCTATAGGAGTTCTGTGCATCAGAATCGAGTGATTCTGACTCACGGTGCTGGCTTAGACACCCTGATACAGTGGGTTAAGTTGGTGGTTCGAGCCTGGTTAGAAGGTGCTGGCTTAGACACCCTGATACAGTGGGTTAAGTTGGTGGTTCGAGCCTGGTTAGAAGGTGCTGGCTTAGACACCCTGATACAGTGGGTTAAGTTGGTGGTTCGAGCCTGGTTAGAAGGGTGGGGAAGTCTGTTGCTGTAAACAGTGACATTGGGTCCCTCTGAGCCAGAACGGGCTCCCTGGCAGGCACCTGGTCTGGTGGGGGGTTTCCGTGGTGAGTCTCTTGATTTTAGGCTCACCCTCTATGCCCACAGTGTGGCCTCTCGTCACAGCAGTGGGGGGCACTGAGCTGAACGTTGGCTTTTCTTTATACTTGTAAGCTTTGCTCTCTCGCTCGCGGGGCCTCGCTGGGCCCCCTGCCCTGCTTCCTGGCGCAGCCCTGGGGCACGGCCCCAGCTGAGAGCTTCACATCCCATCAGGCTCACGGTGGCCTTCCTCAGCTTGGCCACCAGTGGCCTGTTGGGGTCCCAGGGACCCACACTGCCTCGTTCATATCCTGTCTCCTTCAGTCCCTCTGACCTGTCACGGTGGTTGTGTGGGTTTGCACTGTTTCGTCGGCCACTGGCACGTCCCTCAGCTGGGCTGTGCCCGTGCTGCTGTCACCGTGAGGAGCAAACATTCTGAGACCTCCTTCCTGGCCGCACTGCCCGAACCATACTGTGTGTTCCTCCAGCTCCTCCTCCCCCACCCTGCTCTTCCGCTCCCACCCTACCCCAACCCCGTCCCGGGCCCTGGCCCCCCACCTCCTGGTGACGCAGCTGCCTGTTCCCACAGGACATGTGCAAAGCTGCCACCGAGCCGGTGTCCTGCCGCCCCAGCCCGCTCCCAGTGGAGATTCGCCGCGGCCCCTCCAGCGGTGAGTGTCAGCTGCTGGCCTGCATCCTGCTTCCCCTGCCCCTCCTGGACAGGGAGGGCTCACTCCTCTTGTCCTGCCCTCCTTGAGTTCGAAGAGGTGGCAGCAAAGCTACCAGACACCTGCTCAACGGACACTCCCTGATCCTCTGCTGTCAGCTGAGCGCCTCCGCTCGCTGGGCCTTGCCTCCTCTTGGTTAGAACGGTGGGTTTCAGCCAAGGCTCCCCATGAGCTGGCTCCACAGCCCTATTCTCGTCCTCAGTGGTTGGCCCGATGGTCAGAGAGGACAGTCCTTTGTCGACCGCTGTCCTCTGACTCTGTGCCCCTGATGGCCAGCCTCCTTGCTCTTGATCTCCACAAGTCTCGAGCCGCCTCACCTTCTTCCCAGACCCATTCTTTCTCGGAAGTCTTGTTGGGGGTCAGCAGTGCAGTGTTACAGGCAGAGAAGCTCCAGGGACTCGGCTTCAGGTTGACAGCGGTGCTGCTTGTGGTTCCAAACTCTGCATCAGGCCACGCTCTAGGCCTGGTGGGCAGTGACGGCGGGGTTGTAACAGCTACGTGTGCCTGTCACCCATCGCACGTGGTCATTGCTGAGCGCTGCCCAGCTCTGTCCAGTTAGATTCCTGACCCCGTCCTCACCGGAGCCCCGCTGGGTCCCGCTAGGTGGCAGTATGTGGCGCAGGGAATGCTGAGCTTGAACTTGCGTGAGCTAGCGTCTGAGAAGGAAAACATCAGCAGGTCCCTCTCCAGCACTGTCTGTATGCAGTGCACAGTGCTGGCGCTACGATGGGCCACAAGGGCCCCCAAAACGGACAGTCCTCGCCTGTCCTCACCTGGGGACTGCCCGTGCCTGCCTTTGTGCACACTTTGGTTCTGGTGGCCCTGCTGGCAAGTGTTGGGCTGCTAACGGCAAGGTGGGTCGGGAGAAAGACGGGGAGACCTGGTCCTGGGAAACCCTACGTGGGATCGCTAGGAGTCAGCAGTGGCTAGGGTGGGGTGGGCGGTACCTGGTGGAGTACTTGCTGGGTGGCTTTGCACGTGGGCTCGTCCTTGGCCCCTGGCTGAAAGAGGGGCAGTTCACATTTACCCCGAAGTGCCCCAGAAGAAAGGGCTGGCAGACGACTTCTCAACAAGCCGCTGAAGGTCCAGTGGAGCCTCCTCCTGCTCTGCAACCCAGGAGCTCACCAAGATTTGACCGACAGCTGCCGACTTGGCTTGGCTTTGGTTTTGGGTGCCTTATGTTTTTAAATAAAATAAAAAAAAGTAACTTGCATATTAGTTAGTGAAGCTGCTGCTTCTCAGGGCCTGTCGACCAGCAGTCCCTCGGGTGTCGAGAGAATGGTGCTCCACAGGGCTGTCAGTGGCCAGTTTTTGGAATTAGGGCACCAGGCCTTTCTTCTCAGAGCCACCTCAGACCACCACAGTCTGGTTGTTGCGTGAAGACGTGTCTCTTGGGACGTTGTGGGTCAATGTCAGGTGGCGTTGAGTCGGTGCCGACTCTTAGTGACCCTCTGAACAACAGTGCCCGGGCCCAGGCCATCCCCAACTCTCAAAGGTACGCATGCGGTGGAGAACAAGCATTTACTCCTTGGGAAGGAGGACCCTGGTCTAATTCCTGATCTCTGACCTGGCAGTGGTTACGTGGGGCTTCACTCTGGGATCTTCTGTTCGTTGCCTGGTGGCGGTGGCGGTGGAGGTGGAGGCGATGGAGATGGAGGCGGAGGTGGTGGAGGTGGAGGCGGAGGTGATGGTGGTGGAGGCGATGGTGGTGGAGGTAGAGGTGGAGGCGATGTTGATGGAGGTGGAGGCGGAGGCGATGGTGATGGAGGTGGAGGCGATGGTGATGGTGATGGAGGTGGCGGCGGTGTCAGTGGAGGCAATGGTGGTGGTGGTGGCGTTTGGTGCTGTGTAGTCGCTCCACCTCCCTGCGTTCTGTGCACAGCAGAGCTGCAGCCTCAGCGACTGTCACTGCCTTGGAGCTCGTGGTACAGCGACTGTGCCGTCCACTCGTGGAGCCTCTTCCTCCCGATGGCCTCCTCTAGGGTCTGGTCTCTCCTGGAAATGTCCAAAGTATGTGCCACAAAGTCTCGCCATCCTCGCCTCTCAGGAGCCTGCTGGCTGTCATTGCTGCTGCCGGACAGACGTGGTTGCTCTGTGGGCAGCCCGCCATTCAAGCGCTGCGATTCTTGCGCAGGCTTCCCGTGTGCCTGTCTGGCTTTCCCAGGAGGAGGGGCCGTTGAAAACCAGGCGTGGGTCAGGCTCGCCTCAGCCCGTAAAGTGACATCCGTGCTCTTTAACGCGTGAACGAGGGCTCGGGCAGCGGGTTTACCCAACGCCACAGGTGCGATTGTACGTGCAGCTTTACTCCACGTTTCTCTCTGCTCTCCTGAGGCGAGGAGGGAGCCCACCCCTCCATCCACGCCTCAACCTCGAGACACTGGCGTCATCTCCACCCTCCAGGGTCTTGGTCGAACGTGGTGGGAGGAGAAAGCCAGCCCTGCGGGAGTCCGTGTGTGGTGCCGGGCGGACGGGTGCCTAGGCCGATGGAGTTTGACTGGGGGAGGAATACAGCTGCCTGAGGTGACAGAGAGCCTGGGAATGTTACACACAGCAACGTGCCGAGGGTCACTGTCTGGACTTGAGAGGACACCTCTCTCTCACTGCCTTGGAGCCGATGCCCACGCTTAGTTAGGCTCCAGAGGACAGGGTAGGGAGAGCCTCCGGGCTGTCCCGCTTTCTCCCGCTCGGAGGGCGCCTGGAGCAGGGAAAGGGAGACAGTTGTAATGGGATGCAAGCACCCTCACTCCCTGCCATAGACTCCTAGGGTAGAACTGCCCTGCGAGCTTGAGAGACTGTATCTCTTTATGGGAGAAGACAGCCCCGGCTTTCTCCCTCAGAGCAGCTGAGCTGGTGGCTTCAAACTGCCGACCTTGTGGCGAGCAGCCCAGCACTTACCCTGTGTGCCCACGTCTGAAAGGCAGGGTGCGGAGGTGCTGGCCCTGGCCGAGCAAGCAAAGGTAGTGTGAAGGTAACCCTTCACGCCTCCCCTGCAGGGGCTCCTCAGAAGACCCTTCCCTTACAGTAGCAGCGGCCACACCCTGAGACACACTTAGCTCCTTCTGCACGAGGTGGGCCCTTCAGAGGTCGCTCAGGGGCTACAGCTCCTCACCTGCTCAGGTGGCTCCTCCTCCCACTCCTCAGTGACCGCCCACCCATCCCCAGTGGGGTGCTACCCCCTTTCCTGCCCTTGCTCAGTCGGAGTCAGGCCCCATTCTCCTCGGCCGGACGGAGTGCCCCTCCTCCACTGGCACTGGTTCCCACATCTGTACAGTGGGCTTGCCGGCCCTTGAGGGGCGCTGGGGTGTGCCCAGGCGATGCTATGCACGTCTCTAGTTGATGGATGTCCACTGACGGGGCACCACATGTCAGGAACCGTTTTCGGCTCTGTATTACAGCAGTGGACACTTATCCTCAGCAGCTTCTGTTCCTGTGGGGCAGGCCACCGATAATGAAGGAAGTGTCCTGTAGGTCCAGTGGTGCTAAGGACCATGGGGAAGTAGTGTAGAGGCTAGAGACTGACCAGGAGCTGGCCAGGGGTTTGCCCGAGGAAGTGCCATCTGAGAGTAGCCCGGATGAAGAGCCCGAGCTGTCTCTGGAAGGGAAATGCATGCCCGCCAGAGGTGGGTGCTGCGGGGGTTTGTGCTGGCTGGGAGGACACTTAGAGAGGAGTGGCTGAAGCAGAGACCAGGGCTGAGGTCTGAGGAGCCGGGGCACAGGGCCTTCAGTAGGGACCCGGTGCTTGGTGAGTTGTGACAGGAACCAACCTTCGGAAAGACTCTCAAGGAGGGAGGGGTGGGCTAGTTGGCTGAGGCCAGGAAGCCCATCTGCCTCCAGGCTGACTTCCGATGGTGACACCAGAGGCCCCTCCTGCCTTAGCCTCAGGGCTGTCTTCTCCATCCAAACTGCCCACCGGATCCCGGTCTCCCTCCCTGGGCCCTGCCTGACTGGACCCCCCTTCTCTCCCCACAGCCGCCTCTCGGATGATCACCAATAGCCTGAACCGTGACTCCCCGCCCAGCACCCCCCCCAGGCGCCCAGACACCAGCACCTCCAAGATCTCCGTCACCGTGTCCAACAAGATGGCAGCGAAGAGCGCCAAGGCTGCGGGTACAGGGGCTGGGGCTGGCGGGGTGCTCAAGGCTCATGCGCCCCGCTTCGTAAGGTGTTTTGAAGGCCAGGGAAGGAGAGCGTTGCAGTTGAATCTCCTCCGTGGAGTTGGTCATGTCAGGGACCCTCTTTTCCCTCTGCTGCAGACCTGTGGGGTGGGGAGCTCTCTTGTATACTCAGTGACCCAGTGTTTTTAGACAGATGTCCCTTGAGCCCCACATTCATACCTGGCCCTGAGTGTGGTGCCTGGAACCCCACTTCCTCTCAGTGGTCAAAGGGACCCTGTATAGCCCCAAGTCTGACCCTGCCTGCCTCGCAGAGGAAATCGACCCCCATGAGGCAGCGGTCAGACTCCACTCCGCTCTCCTCTCGTCACCCTTCCTGGCACCAGCCGTCCTCCCCATGCACTTGCTGCTGCCCTGCCACCTTTGATGGGGGCTGCAGGACTCAGAGACCACACTCACGACCACGGGACTTGTTAAGCACACAACAGACAACCATGTGGGATCAGTATCCGTCCTCAAGTGGGGGTAGTAACGGACAACTCGGGTGGCAGGAGAGAGTTGTCAGTTAGGCTAGCTGCCATCCACAAGGGCTCAAAGCTCCTCAGCCGGGCCTACAGGCTGACTGCGTTCCTTCACAGGGCTGGCTTCCTCCTAGGCAGGCCCGCAGGCCGTTCCTTTTCCCAGCCCTGCTAGCTCTGCCCTGGCAAGGCTCACAGCTCCCCCATGCCACCAGCCACCAGAAGGCACCCCGCTCCCTTCTGTGTGGGGGCCAGGGGCTGGTGTGGATTTTGTCTCCTTCCCCTCATGAAATCAGAGGCCCCGCCACTGGCCCAGGGGCTGCTCCTGCCCGCGGTCCTTTCCTGGCTGCACCGGGAGAGCTGGGCGTGGAAGCCAGCCTTGGGGCTCGCTCCTGCTCCCTCCCTCGTTGTGGCCTCCATCTGCTCACTGGGTGCCTCAGGCCCCTGTAGAAGCTGAGGGCCAGCTGTAGTTGCGGCTCTCCTTGGGTGGTGTGCTGGGTTTGCCTCACCGCTCACAGCCCGGGGCTCTGGGGGCCCGGAGCAGGAATGGAAAACGTAACTCGTAGAGGGTTACAAAGATGGGCTGGCCTTGGTTCAATCGAGGGGCTTCTTTGGAAAACCAGCTGAGGTGCACACCTTGCAAGTGCATGGCTCAGTGGACCTTGGCCAAGTGAGCACACCTCTGAACCTTCCCCTGGCCCTGCTGGTTCCCTTCCTCAGGGTCCAGGCCAGGCCGGGGAGCCTGCCTGAGGCGAGGACAGAGCCACAGAGAGCATGGGGGCCCTGCCACAGTGTGGGGTTCCCCCGGGCATCTTCTGTGACCTCTTCTTCCCCAGGCCTCTGAGCGTCTCTGGTTCAGACGCAGGACAGGCTGGTGGGGAAGCTGAGGGACCCCAGCGGCCGATGCATGGTGAGAAAGGCTGGAGCTTGCCCTGGGCCTGGGGTCCAGCCCCCACCCAGGAGAACAGTCCCTCGCAGAGGGTGCTGACCCGCCCTCCCGCCCCTCTCTGCAGCAGTCCTGGCCCGCCGGGAGGAGGAGAGCCTGGCTGGCCCCACCAAGCGGCGCCGGGTCACGGCGGAGATGGAGGGCAAGTACATCATCCACATGCCCAAAGGGACCACCCCCCGGACCCGCAAGATCCTGGAGCAGCAGCAGGCGTCGAAAGGTCCGGGCTGCTGGGGCTGCGTCTCCATCCTGCTGCATGCCTACAGGCGCGGGCGCAAACCCGCCAATGGGGGGCCTTGCTGGTGGCTGTAGGGGGTCAGGCACACTGCCTTTGCCCCTCCTCTTTCAGGCCACGTAGAGCCTCCATCAGCTCCTCTCTCCTGAAGGGCAGGGACAGAAATCCCATAAGGTCTGTCAGCGAAGCTGGCTCAGGGCAAGTCCCAAGGAGTGGGAATGGTCCTTATGAGCCTGGGGGGTCGGATCGAGAGCCAGGCCAAGGCTGGGGTTTGCGCTGTCTGGGCTTCAGCTCTTCATCTGTGTTTCTGTGGAGAAGCAGTCAGATGACATCACAGCAGACTTGGCACCAACGTCCCCTGTCCCCCTGGGCCACGCCTTTGCAGCCAGACGTCCCCACATGCCGAGCTCACTGCCATCAGGCCGGTGCTGAATCCTAGAGGCCCCCCAGGAGAGGGTGTAACTGTCCCTGTCCCTGTGGGTTCCCAAGTCGGATCCTTCCCCTTGGAGCCGCTGATGGTTTTGAACTGCTCACCTCGCAGTGAACAACCCGATGTGCAACCACTACGCCCCTGGGGGCTCCTGGCTGCGCACACACGGGACCCAAGGACGTGTGGTCCCTGCCTTCATTCCTCACACAGATGCCATTTTCCCATAGGCATTGTGTGCAGTTACCGATGCCGTCAGTATGGCACCGTCTTTTCATGGGGGCGCATGCAGGCCCGCCTCATTCCCTCATTTTTGTTTTTGATGGTTCGACTTCCTAAGCCATTTTGTCAGAGGAAAGCAGCCCCTAACAGCCGAGGGGTCCTTAGGTGCAATTGTACGGCAGTAATATATAAAGCTTATAGTAAAGTCATAGAAGATAGGAGAGATTGGAAAGCGAGTAAAGTAAAGGAGTCAGACACATTTTATGGTAGCATGCTCACCTCAGCCCCTCTTGGTGGTCCACGTAGAGGTGGGAGAGAAGAGAGAGTGTCTGTACTATCTTGGGATATTTATAGGTAGCCACAAGACATGCATATGCCGTAGTAACATGTCACAAGATGGATGGTAACTACAGTAAGGTCCCTGAGCTCATAGGTGAGGAAACCTAATACCTGCACTGGGGGGAAAGCATGTGGGGGGATGGGTGCTAAGGCAGGAGTTGATAACAATGTTTGCTTCTGTAGGGAGGCAGAATCAACCAAGTGCTCCCTTTAAGGCAGCAGAGCTGTTAGGGGAGAGTCTGTGGGAATGTTACTTAAAGCAGGATCGTGGACTTGGACTTTACCTCTAACTGACCAACGTGGAGGCTCTCCTACTGTGGAATACCAGCTTTCCAGACTCCCTCTGTGATAAGTTAGGGAGTAGAGTCCTCGTCCATCATATCCCCCTCAGGGTTAGTGTCCCACACCACTTGCTTTCAAGTGGACTCTGGCTGAAGTGTGCCCGTGAGAGGTGTTTAATTGTCAGCTGTGGTGTGGTGTATGGTCTAGAATAGCAAATGCGCCCGTGCACACAGCGTTTGCCAGGGCAACACGCCTCCTTCATGCTTCTCTGCCCACTGTGGCTGGTGAATTTGAACTGCTGACCTTGCAATTAGCAGCCCAATGCCTAACCCACCACGCCACCAGGGCCCAGGCATGCTTTATAATGACTGTAACTTTCAGAATGCCTGTACACCTTAATTTCGTGAGCATCCACCTGCTCTCGGGCACTTCATTTATTTGGGGATCTTCATCAGATTCTCAGAGCAAGTGGAGTCAGAACGCCCCTGCACACACACTCCCCTCCATGCTGCGTGTCAGCTGTAGGGGACGCTTCCCAGACACGGCATGAGCAAGGGCGCCTGGGTAAAGGCCAGTGGCAGCCGGGAAGCTGCAAGAGAACCTTGCCTCAGCGGGGCCTACCCCTGCTTGTTCGGGACTGGCTGTGCCCTCCCTGCCCGCAGATTTTCAAGGCAGCGCTTGGCCGTGGCCTGGACCCTGGGCCACTCAGCTGACTGCCCGCTGCTCTCCCAGGTCTCCACAGGACGTCGGTGTTTGACCGCCTGGGCGCAGAGACCAAGACGGACACGACAACGTGGAATAAGGTGAGTTGGAGACAGCACGCAGTGCAATGTTACTGCAATTGCTTCTGCCCTGCCCTTGCACACATGGCACTCTACCAGCCCCAGGTCCTTAGAGCCTACTTGGCTCAATGCCCATCTCTACACCAGCCACCTTCCGGTCATCTTCTGTCCTAGCTCTCTCCCCACTTCCTGATGCTGGACACTGGCATCCCAGACTGGTCTCAGTGTCTTTACCCAGACCCACCCCTCTTTTGGGCCTTATCTCAGGGATGCCCCACTCTCCCCAATCCAGTTCAGTCACTGGGAACTATTTTCCTTGTCCTCCCCGTCCCCCCCACTCCCCCCACCCCCGGTGCAGCATGAACCACCGTATAGCTCTGTCCACCTGTCCATTATGTCCATCCTTTCCTTGGAAAGCCCTCCCACACGTGGGTTCAAGTCCATGCTGATTGTTTTGGCCTGACAGTCCCACAGGCCCAGGCCCCAGAGGTAAAGTAGCTGCCCTGGCCAGCTCTGTTGTTTCGTCCAGGAAAGCCAGAGTGTCCACGTCCCTGTCCGTGCCCATGTCCGTGCCCGTGATGCACCAGGCTGAGCTCCAAGCCGCTCCGGACCCTTCTCACTCCTGGACTCGGACAAGAAGGCCCAGGACCGCGTGCCCTCGCAGAAAGGGTGACCCAGTCTGAGCCAGACGGGCAGTGGGGAAGTCCGGTTATCTTTCTGCAATCCCCCCAGTCCAAAAGAAGTTCCAGTGTTTCCTTTTTAGAAACGAACAATTTTTTTTGTGCAGAGTAGATGGTTGGTCTTGAGGCAACAACTCGCCCATTTTGTTCCATCTCACTGACTGCAGTTCCCACCGGGCGGCATCACCACTCCCACCGCTCCCCTCTTCCGCCGCTCCTCCATCCTTTCTGAACTCTGCCCATGGAGCCCCGTGGCTCCGGGTCCCTGGTACTGTCTTGCTGCTGTTGGCAAAGGGAGCCTCGGGGCTCTGTGGTCACTTTTTCCCGTCCCCTGGCCTGCTGCCCATCCCTTGCTGCTTTGTGCTTGCTCACCCTTCAGGGCCTAGCTGAAAAGCTGGTGCCCCAGAGCAAGAACCCTGCCCTCCCCCTCCCCCCCAGAGGAGACGAGGCTTCCAGCCCTCTGTCGTCCTCCACAGAAAGAGCCACTGTTAGCATTTCTTTCTTTTTTCCCCACATTATATCATTTAATTCTTCAATAATATTAAGATTTGTACAATCATCACTACAATCAATTTCAGAACATTTTCTTGTCACATTCGTTGTTAGCTCCTCACCCCCACCCTTCAGCCTCAGCCACTGTTATCATTTCTAGTGGCAGGTCTGTGTGTTATTCCCCTCTCCCCGCCCCAAGACTGGGACCCACAAGGGCTGGGCCCAGCGCTAGTTCGGTCGGTCGTCACGGGGCCAGCTATAGAGCTGGGACTCAGGAGATACTTGTGGACAAAGGACCAGGTTGATCTTTTCACCCAGGCCCACCTCTACACCCAAACCAAACCAGAGTGTAAATCTTTATGGGAGCAGACAGGGTTGTCTTTCTGCTTGTGAGTGTGAACCACTGACCTTGTGGTTAGCTAGGTCACCTCACCACAGTGCCACGGGGCCCCAGGTCTACCTCTGGACCTTTGCAAATGATGTTACCTCTGCCTGGCCCGAGCGCTTTCTCTTTCCTCTCTACTGAAACCGACTTCCCTTCAGCTCTCTGGTCTCATCTCCGTGTCCCCTCCTCTCGGGAGCCTTCCCCAAAGCCCTGGCCCAATTCAACTTCTTCCTTACCCCTCAGAGCCCTGACCACTTTCTGGGATGGCACCTATGGGTTCCAGGAGACCTGTCTCAGTCACTGCTGTGTCCCCAGCCTTGAGGCCAGGCATAGAGGGGGCGCCAGTTGTAGGTGTGTGTGCGATGACCAAATGACTCATTGGCCCTGCCACTGACTCCCCAGCCCACAGGGGTCTTCAGCCGCCTGGGGGCCACGCCAGAGATGGATGAGGACCTGGCTTGGGACAGCGACAATGACAGCAGCAGCTCTGTCCTCCAGTATGCCGGCATCCTGAAGAGGCTGGGCCGCGCTCCGGCCAAGGCCAGCCCCCAGCCAGCACTGACTGTCAGAGCCAAGGCCACCAGCTCAGGGACGCCCCCCGCTGCTCCCCCAAAACTGCGGCGCCTGGCGCTCCCCCGACGCCCTGGGCAGGAGAAGAAGCCGGAGCCCCCATCCAAAGTCAGCATCACCCAGAGACTGGGCAAGGCCGCCCTTGTGCCCGAGGCCCAGGACAGCCAGGTCACGAGCACCAAGAGTAAGTCCTCAGCTGAGGTCAAGGTCATCATCCAGAGAACTCTGGTGGGGCCCCGGGGGAGCGGCTCCAGCGAGGGCCTGGGAGCCCAGATGGACCACGCAGGCACCGTGAGCGTGTTCAAGCGACTGGGCCACAGGACCACCTAGCCCCCCGCGAGTGAGCCTGGCCTCGCCAGCTTCTGGATGGCACCGCAGGTCTCCCTGAGGCCTGCACACTGGGCCCCCTGGGGTGGTCACTGCGTCCTGGCCTTGCCACTTCCCGCTCTCGGCCCCTCTGTCCTCTCCTTGCAGTGGCCCTGGTAGGACCTTTCCCAAGGGCTACATCCTGCCCCCGTCCTCCCCGCTCAGCAGCATCTGCCCCTCCATGAGGGTTGCTCACGGACCTCCTGTGACCTCTAACTGCTGCCCCCCTCCCCCCACCAACTTCTGCGCTTTTGATGTCTCTGCCTCCCCGTCTTCTGCTGCTCACCTCTCTTCTGTTTTCTGTCCCTGTGGCAAGGCCCGACTGTCCGCCGCATCCTGCCCAGCCCGCCTGCACCTCCGGCCTCCCAGCGGGCCCCTCGTCGTCGGTGGCGTCGAGCCGACAGAGACTGTTAGCTGCCTCCGCTCCCAAGCTGGAGGGGCCTCCCGAGACCCGGGCCCTCCCCGCCCTGGGCATCTCTGTCTGGGAAAGTCCATGCTGAGTGATGTGAGGCACCGGGAAGGTGGGCCCAGGGAGAAGAGATGACGGTGGTTTTAATATATTTTTGTGACTTTCCGATGGTTTTTCTCCCCTCCTTAAGGGGGAGAAAGCACGTTACGGGGGTGCTGGCAGGAGGGCAAGTGAAGTGTACCAAGCATGGCCATGGCCCTGCCGCAGGCCTGAGGCGGTGCTCAGGGAGCCGCAGGGGAGGGGCAGGGTGGGGGGTTGTCAATCCCACCCTGTGCTCCCTTCCTTTTCCAGCTTCCCGATGCCCTTTGTGAGGCTGTGCGTCTCCTTGGGGAGGGGCTTTTGATGGTGGACACTGGGCTGCGTGAGCCTATCAGGGATCTGGGATCGCTCCCAGTCCTGGCCCCACAGCCAGGCTGTCAGTGAGCAAGACAGTCGGGTCCTGCCTGCATGACCCTCTTCTCTAGGCGGACGCTCTGGGCCAAAGTGGCAAGGCCACCACAGCATTGGAGACGTGGGTGGGGAGGACCCCAGGGCCTGCAGACCTGGGGCGTGCGAGGGAGGCGAGCAGTCACAGGGAGCCTTCTGGGCGCCATCCTGAGAGTGAAGAGCAGAGGGCCCAGCCCGAGCCCCGAGATTCGGGTCACCCTCCAGAAAGCCGGCACCAGCTACTCTGAAGGCAGCAAGGGGGCTGGAACCCGGAGGACAACAGTGGAGAGGAGTCCGGGAAAGTGATGATTGATGGCTGGGGCCTGGACCCTGAGGCCAGGAAAGGTGGGCTTCTTGGTCTTTGGGATTGAACATCCAGGGAGTGGGCTTGGGTGGGGGGTTCCAATTGTCTGGAGTGAGAGGTGTGATCCCAGCTCCACTTGTGAGCAGACCTTGGGGCTCCGGGTGCAGCTGCGCCCCCGAGTGAGAGGAGCAGCATAGAGCTGGGGAGGACCCAGGGGAAGGCAGCCCTCTCCCCACTCCCAGGACATGCACCTGACAGGAAAGGCTCTGTATATCAGCCATTTCTTTCCTGTGTTTCTTCTTGCTGCCCGGCAGTCCCCGGCACAGGGCCTGGGGTGTCGGAGCTCAGCGGAGCAGGCCAGGCCTCCTGGAGGTCTGTCCTCCGAGGGACAGCAATGATGAGTCAAACTGGGGCCAGGCCACTTCTGTGCAGGGTCTCAGTAGGGACACTCAGGTGCCCCCTTCGCCCCCCTTTGTTTTCTAGTGATTTCCACCGTGTCTCACTATAGGTACTAAATTTAAGAGTAGATGTACATATCTTGATTGATAGAAACAGCACCCTTCCCACAGCAGGCTCAGGGCACCGGCTGAATTCCCTTATGACTCTACAGCCACACATATGGGGGAGTGACTCCCAGCAGGTGACAGGACTAGGGCTGACCTCGGGGCCCTAGCTCCAGGGCCCCTCCATGGCAGACTGGACACGGCTCTCTGAAAAAGAAGGGGGCGGAGGGGGGTGGGCAAGCAGTGTCCCTGGAGGCACTGGAGTCTCCCAAGTTGTTGCTACCACCAGCTCATCAGCCCATCCCAGGAAGCTTGTGCTACAGGCCCTTAAGGACCATGCCCTGTCTCCCTCATCCTCCAGGCAGACCAGAGCCGATGTCTCTGCCCCTTCCCAGCCCCTCCCCCAAGAACTAACTCCCACAGGTGTGTCTGAGCAAGAATTCCTTCTTGTGGTTTAAGAAACACACAGGGCTGGACAGGGTGGTCTCTCCCCTGGTCTGCTAGCTCCCCGTCCCCACTCCAAGTACAGTCCTCACAGAGATGTGTCTGTGTTGTGCGTGTGTACAGAAGAATGTGTGCCTGAGCACGCGTGCACCTGTGAACACAAGGGCACAGCCACCTTAACCACCTATTGATCCGGAATATGGGTGGTTTCTAATCACCTATCACAGGCAGCATTGCCATGAATAACCTTGTTCCCACGCAGGGGATCAAAACGGGTGAATTTACAAAACTTTACGTTCTAGTGCAAATACGGAGAAAATGGATCAGCACCAAATTTGAATAAGGGCTCCCCCACCTTCCACTCACCCACCCCTAGGTGGTTGGTGTTCTCTGAGAGATAGCCGTAATGATCCGTTTGCTACCCATTCCAGACAAGAAGGAAAAGCAGCCGGGTCTTTCTAAAACAGCCAGTCAGAGGAAGGTAGACACTCACCTTGACTGTGACTGACCACCACCTACGTGCCAGGAAGTCCTCAACAGCTGTGCTGAATTCATGGGCCACCATTCTCGTCTCGGACAGGTGTGGACATGAAGGCGCAGAGCAGCTCTGACCCAGGCCAGCAGATGCTTCTGTCTGGACCATGGTCTTGGCCAAGGTTGCCTCTGGTTCCATCCTTCCATTGGCGGCCCTTCCCAGTGGACTAGACAAAATGGGGATGCAGGCCCTCTGGCAGGCAGCCAGGGTACCTCTTCCTCCGGTTCCCAAGCCAGACACCCCTGAGAGGGTCCAGCAGTGCAGCTTCGCCCTTCCTTTAGGGACCTGAGCGGACGTGCTGGTGAGCCCCACCCCGTGGAAAGCCTGGCAGTGCAGGAGAGGAGGATTTGTTCCTGTTGTGTAGCTTCATCCAGCCCTCCGCCCTCCCTCCTAGACGGAGTGTCTTTAGAGCTGTCCATGTCCAGGAAAGTGCCGAGTTCCTGAACCCCAGCCGACCCCCAGCAGCTGCAGCTGTGAGGGCCGTTCAGGTGGTTCCGGCTCACAGCAGCTGTCTGTACAACAGAACACAGCCCCACCCATCCTCACGGCGGTCACGTCTGGACCCACGGCGGCGGTCCCCAAGTTCCTCTGTCTTGTTGAGGGTCTTCCTCTGGTCCTCCGACCTTCCACTTCACCAAGCCGGATAACCTCCAGGGACTGGCAGTTTGTCACAAGTAACAAACCCATACGATCCGTTAAAACCAACGATTCAGACTCACGGAGAGCCCATGCGCCTCTAAGTAGATAGACTTGTGCTCCATAGAGGTTTTCGGGGGTGAGTTCTTGGGAGTGGATCCCACACCTTTCTTCCCAGTCTACCTCTGGGTAGACTTGAACTGTCAGCCTTTGAGTTAACAGATGTGCACATTAACCGTTAATCACTCGGGGTCTTGGTTGATTCCCCCTTGGGGAGGGTGTGGTGGGCCATGATTGTCAACTACCTTGATTCTGATGCAGCCACACGACTGTGGCTGGAATTCTTCACAAGAGCAGATGGCCCCATCTCGCTCTAATGGAGCAGCTGTTGGGTTTGAGCCAATAACCTTGTAGTTAGCAGCCCGGCGCATGCCCGACAGTGCCACTAGGCCTAATCAGTAGGAAGAAAACCTCAGAACAGTGTCGTTTACACTGCCATCGAGTCAGTTCTGACTCGGCGAGCCCAATCAGATCCCAGTCTGACTCGGCGATCCCAGTCGGACAGAGCAGAACTGCCCCTGTGGGTTTTGGAGATTGTTACTCTTTACGGGAGTGAAGAGCCTCATCTTTTTCCCTGGGTGGTTTTGAACTGCTGACATCAGAGGTAGCAGCCCAATGTGTAATCATGGTGCCACTAGGGCTCCTGCAGTAACATCAAAAAGGCCTGGCCAGCTCACGTTGCGCCATCTTGTGGCAGGATAATGAGTGGCGTTAAATCACCCTGCCGGCGTCCTGTGAAATTCATTGTTCCCTTTTCTTTGCTGTTTATTTTTCTTTTAAGTTAATGGTATTCATGTGATCTCAATTTTACTTAATAATGCAGGCAGCTGTGTTTTAAATAGGCCACTGTAGCAGCTCCACATTATTTTCACTCAGCGTAAAATGCGACTTCATTAAGTCGCACATCTGGATGCATACAAGTGAGGCTTGGCCTGAGGGGTCTTTGGGAATGGAGCTGCGTGCCACGACCATTTGGCTTTGTGATCTTGGCCTCACTGGGGCATCTGCTGGCCGGCTGCTGGGGGACCATTTATTGAGGTCCAGGACATAATGCCGACCGACCGTGGTTGCCTGGTCCTGTAGTCACCACCATCGAGTTGGTTCCTACGCATGGCAGCCCTAGAGGACGTAATAGAGCTGCCCTGTGGTTTGCAAGACTGTGACTCTTTACAGCTACGGTCAACTCACGGATCTCTCACGCACGGTGGAGTGAAAAGCTGCCTTTCCCTGCACCCTCCTCACCATCTCATTTCAGATTGGACCGTTGTGACCCACGGGGTCTTGTCGTCTCTGAGTCTGGAAGGTCCCCAGAAACCTGTTCAGCATCGCAACCATGAGTAAGCCCCCACTGACAGGGAAGTGAGCCGGGGTCCCCGTGTGGAAGGTGACCATTCCCCCACTGAACCCCACTACCCTCCCTGGAGCAGCTCAGCACACGGTATGCAGGTCGATGGCCCCAGCAAAGCGGGCTGCCTCATTCAATGGAAACCCAATTTGGGTTTCCATTTCATTTTAAAAACGTTTTTAAAAAACGTGCACTAACTTAGCACGACCACTGAAATGCTTGGGGATTTTCTGGCATGTTATACAAGTTGAACATGCATGGTGCCTTCCATTGTAATTTGGGATGAGTTAGAAATGTGTTTATAAAAGGAAATTGGAACCAGCTTGTACAGAGGCCCCGAGGTGGCTCTGTGAAGCTGAGCTGCTAAATCCAAGAGACGATTTTTAGCATTTCTTCATAATGTAGGGAACTATGTTTCAAGTACAGGCTACTTTAAAAAAAAACAAAAAACGGTTTCGGGCATCTGTCAGAATTGGATCAACTTTCCCCCCAGAAAAGGCTAAGTTTAGGATGATGAGGAAGAACTGGTTGACTGTTAGCGATTTCAGAAGAGACAGCATGTGAGCAAGACGTCCAGCCGCCCTGAAGACACCAGTAAAAGGCGACACCAAAACAAAACAAAAACCCTCCAACTCAGTGCCATCCAGTTGATAACGACACAGCAATCGTATTGGATAGGGTA